TTTGTATTTAGAAAACTACAGCGAGTTTTGTCATGCATTTCACTGAGTGTGTCCAAAAGGACTGAATATAAGTGAATTTAGATACTACTTAATATAACCAGTGTTTCATGTTGTAACAAATTAATTGGCAATACATTTTTAGAAAATATGGAAGAGCAGAGGGGACCTATAAAGAAAAATAAAACAAAAAACAAATTAAAGGTTACTTCCCAAATTCATTTTATACTTAATTTTGCTCTGAGAACTCTGGGCTAAGGTAACATCCTTCGAGGTTGTTTTCAGGAGAGGGTATTATGGGAAGAAAGGCCAGATATATTAAATAGTAGTTTATGGTTATCTTTCATGCTCTGAAAATCTATCTGAAATGTGAGATCCTGGATCCCATAGGAAGAAGGAGAGAGGTCCTACCTTTAGGCACTGAGCTGTATTTCCAGTCTTAGAGCTCCCATATTCAATATAAGTTTGGTATCCCAGGAATAAATGCAGCACTGCTCTTCGGGCACAGCAGACCTAACTTTAACACGACTAGACTCTTTCTTCACACTCAGTCCAGATCCCAGTCTTTTGCTCTCCACACAGGATGCTAGATATTAATTTAACTGAAAATATTCAGCAAACACACACACACACACACACACACACACACACACACACACGAGAGAGAGAGAGAGAGAGAGAGAGAGAGAGAGAGAGAGAGACATACTCAAAGTCACATGGCAAATTAGCAAGCTAAAAATGCTGAACTGACTTCCTATTTCACAGTGTGTTCTATCAGGACTAAGCCAAGCAATCACAAAGAAATGACTAAATCACTTGCAAATATTTGCTTGTTCCACTGCTTTGGGAGTCGTCCATGTTCCATTTAAGTACTTCTTTCTAGAGTGAAAAATGACATAGTCCATCACCTTTGATTTTCTTATGAAATAGGTTCTATCATATTTTTAGCCAAATACTTGTCTTCTGTTCTTGCCAGGGGGACAACCGCTTTGCAAAGTACTATCCAGAGACACATGCTTGTCCTTGCTCTCTTACAGTAGGTACACTCTATAAACAAAATCAAAAATTAAGGACTCTAGTGTGTGTTCCAAATGGACAGAGATATCCCACTGAAACACAGTCAGACCAAGCTACTCCCCTTGTGAAGATCCCAAGCTCTAATCAAAGACCAGTGAATGTGCCGCTTTTTACAACTCCATGCTAGTTTTGCTTTGATGTCTTTCTCTTGTCCTTTTCTTGCCTAGAAAATAGCTAATTATTTTTCAATATCTACTTAAACCATCATATTTTGATGGTTGCAAAACTCCAGACTAATAGCAAATTCACATACACTTTTTGTAGCACTTTCCAGTATGATTAATTGGTGAAATGCAGTTGCTCCTTGGCAGGTCATATATCTTACATAGCGTATCCTCAGAATCTAGTGTAGTACATGGTACATGCCTCTACTTATACCTTAAACTTAAGTACACTTATATAGATATTAACTAAGTGATTGCTCAAGACAAAATCACACATTTTCTACATTCTCCAGAGGATGAGGTTATCAGTCATCTCATTTGGGCAGACTCCGCCCCTGACTTGTTTCTACACTTACATGTCCACAAGAAGCATTCAAAAAGCTAATAAAAAATTGTTTTTTTATTTGCAATAAAAACTATTGATGTTTTAAAATTTGAGAGCAGAGAAAAAGTAGAGAAGGTTGATATGATTATGCAAAGAACATATAATAGTAGGTATAGTACTGATGGAATGATAAAAGTATCCATCATTCGAAAAGTGCCTTTCACATGTGAAGGGCAATAATAAGCTACAGAAAAGGAAAAGTGATTAAGTGGAGAGAAACATTTGAGAGTATAACTAAAGGATGATGCCTCTTAGACTACGATTAATTAAGAAACCTAAAAGTTTACCAGAATTTAAAGTCTGATGTTAAAAAAAAATGCTGCTTACAAAACTGTTACAGACCTCAGATTGTTCAGTAGGATCAAATCCATTTGAATTTGTACAGGATCAAAAGAAGCAAAGAGTGTAAACATCTTAGCTGCTGAAAAATTCCCTAAAGACACTTGATGAGATCATTACCTACCAGATTTTCAACGTAGTCGGCACTGGTCTAAATTTGGGGGAGTGGGAAAAGATGTTGGAGAGAATGAGTTTTGGCAAGAGGGAGAAAAGGATATAGCAAAATATATATGAAAGTTCTGGCTCAAATTTTTATCTGGATGGAAATATATCTAAGGGAAGCTGAATATGTTTCAGAACTTAATTTGTTCATGTGCATATGAACTTCTGTATTGGAAACATGTTCACACAGTAAGAAATAAGAAAGGAACTAAGAGCGGAATGAAAGGATCTCTGGCCAGTGGAAGAAGCTAGAGAGTGAACCACACTCTGTTCTAGTACGCAGGCTGAGGAGGAGTGTTTCAGGAGAGGCAAGAGAAGATTTGAAACATTCTCACATGGTGTGAATATGAAGGAGGCATGGGAATCCTTATTAAAACTCAATCTCTATTTCCTAGACTCTTTGCTTCTTTTATTTGAAATTGTTGTGTAAGAATTTTAAATTCTACTTTTGAATTCCACCTATTCTTTCATAACTGAAGAGAGAAAAAAGAAAAGTGACAATCATTAGCCCCAACCTCTCTCTGTATCCTGAGAGCAATTACAAAATCAGAAAGAAGGGCTTTCTCTCCTTGACCAATCTATTCTTAAAACAGGTCACCTGAGGAAATTCCACAAACTACCTTACTATTTAGCTTTTCAATAATGATTCCTCCAGTTTTCCTAATGTTTAACATAAACTACCTGTAATACATTCTCACACTATTCTATTTTTGTTGATACAGTTATCTAGGCTTTCTATGCTCCAAAAATAAAATTTAACAGAATCACAAAATTATCTGTCATCCTCTAGGTCTCACAGGCAAAGTAATATTTGCCAGATGTTGATATATTGCCAAACACCTCCACGCCACCCACAGATTCTGTAACTGGCTGGTAATTCACAACTCTATAAAATAAGAAATACTTCTGTACATTAGTTTCTTGTTATTCATTTTTTCTTCAAGACTACTGTTAAGCTCTTCCCTGGTAGGTTATGTTTTTGAGGACACGTGTGATTCTTTCAGCTTTGCTCACACATCCGCTCTATGCCTCACAGATCCTTCTTTCTGACCTTAATAAATATAATCAGTAAAACCTGCACAGGAACTATATTTTGCATTATACATTTGTTTTGTTTTGCCAAATAGGAAAAAAAAATTGTGATCTGCTATTTGTAAACATTAACTTTCTGGATCTGTTTTCACTCCATTGCTTAATCTATTTTTTCTTTTTACTATAAAATTAATTAAATTTACCTCCATAAAGAATCTGGCATGTCTAGCTGATTTCATATAATTTTATTTGTAAGTTGACTTATAAAGAATTGAATGATTGCATTTCCACATGTATCATATATTCATTATTTTATCAATAGCTATCATTCCCTTTGAAACATATTTCATTAGTTTGTTTGGAATTACTGGATAAGATTTTTTTTCCGTTTTTCCTTCCCTTATTTCCTCTGTATAGCTACTTAAACCACTGTTTTCAAATTTATTTTCTATGTCCACTGTGTTAATTATCATAATTTCAAAAAATTTTACTTATACGGGAAGTGTGCATCATATTTAAAGGCCTCATAATTTGTCTTTCTAGAACTTATAACAAACACTTGTGCCACAATCATTAAAATTAAGCTGGCTTTTAAGAAACATTTTTCAGCTTATTTCATTTTTGACATCAGATCCAAGTTTCAGTTCAACAAAATTTACTCATACATACTTCTTTGGAATGGAACTGGAAATTAAAAATGATTATAATAATAATTAAAACCAAAGAAATAGAAAACATGAAAAGTATATATATATCCCATTTGCTTTGTAGCTAAAAAAATATATTTTTTAATTCTGAGGATGGATATCACAAAGTTTGGCTTTAAGATAGCTTCCACCAAAATAATAAAAGATTTAGTACTAATTCAAAAGCTATTCAAAAGTATAAAACTATGTTCAGATTCATCTAAAATAGAAGTGAAGCAGGACTGACTGAATAATCTTGATAATGAACTCCATATTCTGTTTCACTTTGCTTTGTTGATACAGTCTGAGCAGGGAAGAATTGTGAAGTTTCTTTCAGTCTCTTTAAGTTTAAATAAAGTTTCTAGTAAGCAACTTACTAATATGTTACCTGAAATGAATTAAAGATTACCTCAGGTTTATTTTTCTCAAAATGTCTATTTCCAATAAAACATTTTAAGACAATATTAAAAGTATGAAATTATTTTTCATATAAACAAATATATATAAAATATATGTGCAGATAGGTATGTGTATATATTCAAATATATAACTTTCAAGTCTCCACTCCAAGTTTCATTATTATAATAGAAACTATTACTGTAAACAATTATTGCTTTGGAATTCTTGACATCTCCTACACAAACTTTCTGGATCCAAATCTTCATTATAAACCCAAAAGAACATTTAACCCCAGGAAAATACCATATGCTAAAGTACTATCTGGTGTTATTTCTGCTATGAGCAGTAATATTTTCCTACATTTAAAAGCCAATGAAATATATATTGTTAAAATATAAACAGAAATTATCATTTACTCATAAAATAATATATAAGATGCCATAAAATGTTAAATTATGTTCCAACTTAGTAAATAATTGAGATTATCAAACTGGAAGAAGAAATTGTTTTGGTTATCATGAACTAAAACAGTGATTTCTCCATCTTGTTAACATAAGACATTGAGTTTCAGGTATATTTTACCCAAATTACAGCAAGCTACAGTTGACTACTCTAATATCCTGATGCCTACTGATCATGCAAAATGAAACCACAATTATAAACAAGCCACACATATCAAAGTAAAATAGATATTGATTAGACTCCTTTTCAACATTTGTTTAAAGTACAGAAGATTAACTTGCTAGTTTAGTTACCTACCAGCAATGATTGGATTCTATCACTGTTATCACTTCTACAAACAGCACCAAAGTATAACCCCTCTTCCCATAACATAAGCACCATGCCAAAGAGACAACCACAGTAAAAGAACTGATCATGAATAATTTGGAGTGGTTGAAATCCGGTTAGTGGAGGAAAGAGAAAAGAGAAGTGGCTCATTAGGGCATTTCCTGAACCTTGGTTGGGATTTCAGTTAAGGAAGAAGAAATGACACAGCAGTTTCAAGTAAGGGAAGTTCCTTTCTTTATCTAAAGTATGCTACCAAGTTGAGAAACAGCACTCCAACAAAACTACTCTAGCACAGTGCAGTGGCCACAGTAAAAGCTCTCGTATATTCCATTATTGCCCCATAAGTAACATTTCTGTCCAGAATATGCACAAGAATTATATGACTGTTATAAAAATGGACGTAAGATTCCACATTTATTGTTAAGCCTCACATTTAACATTTTTTTTAACAAACTGACCCACACCAATTTTCAATTTTAATCATTGCAGTTTTCTCGCCCTAACTCAGTGAAGAAAGCATTGGCCTGTGGACTCAAGGGTCCCAGGTTCAATTCCAGTCAAGGGCACATGCCCTGGTTGCAGGCTTGATCCCCAATGGGGGGCATGCAGGAGGCAGCCAATCAATGATTCTCTTTCATCATTGATGTTTCAGTCTCTCTCTTCCTCTCACTTTCTCTCTGAAATCAATAAAAATATATCTTTTTAAAAAAGAATTGCACCTTTCTTTAGAATATTACTACATTTTGAGTTTTTACTCAAGGCCATCAAATTCCCCATATTTCATATAATCACATTTTCCTTACATATAATTTTCCTCTCAGTGTGACTCCAGAAAAATATGTATCTTATCCAAGAATATTTTATCTTCTCATATAGATGTAGTATATAATTTAGCTTATAAGATGTCTGATTTATATTATTTTTCATAACCCAGTATTTTTAAGGGACTTTTTTTTAACTCACTGCCTTCACAAATGAAATGACTAAAGAGGTCTCATTCTATATAGTAGTTATCTGCATGAACTTTAATAAATCAAAAGATACAACTTCGTTCCCAAACTATAATTTGTGCTGTGAAAAGCTGCCTTCACTTGGTAAGAATTACACCATTTGCTTATTTTACTTATACTTAAAAACAATATATGTGAAGCAAAACATTCATATTAATTACTGAAGTTTCATGCAAAGGTTATGTTCAAATTTCTCTTGCCTTTGTCTTTTAAAAAAGGCACTCATCCTGCCCAAGTTACACATGAGCAGAGTGGATCCTTCATGCTGAGGGCAGCCCTCTGACAGAACTTCTCTTGCAGGCTGTTGGATGACAGGATCTCACTCGCTGAAATGGTAAGGGGAAATGGAAGTACAGACAGAGCAGGACTGGCTTCTGCTCCAAGTACTTAGAATTGATCCTGTCACACAGTAGACAGTATATATTAAACAACAAGGCTTAATATCCTTCATATTAACCTCTCCATCAAAACTAATACCACATTTATTTATTCATTCACTCATTCATTCATTTATTAATGAACTTCTATTGAATATCTACCATGTATCAGGCACTAGAAGACAAAGACAAACAGTTATTCCCATTACCCTGAAAGAGATTAAAATCTAATAGAATGTGGGAAGATAAATTACCTATGGTTTAAATTAGTTAAAGACAGAAAAAAAAATAGTAATCTAATGGGTTATATATAAAATAACCACAAAAAAATGTAAAGAATCAAAGGATTATTTTCTTACATCTGATTTTGGGAGAATATAGGATATTGAAGTAAGCAATGTCTAGAAAAGGGATTGTTTCTTTTCTAAAGTCAAACATATTTGAGAGCAATAAGGTAATCAATAATAGATAATGTCTACGTTAAATAATGTTTAAGTAAAAAATGTTAACAGTTCATATAGGAAAAATGGCTGCCTGCCAAGTGGCAGCTAACACACTTTGGAAATTAACTTAAAAAGTAATTCTGCGAGTAAGTAAAAAGCAGATGAGAAGATGGAATATTAGCCCTTCCAAAAGGAAAAATAATACATTATTGTTATTAAGATTGCTTTCATCCAAGTCCCAAAGGTAAAAGGTCACTGTTGAGGATTAGAAGATGGCAGCAGAGTGGGTAGACCTTTCTCCCACCTCCTCCCAAAATCTAACTGGAATTAAAACTAAATTGGGGAATATTCACCCTGAAATACCAGATGAAGACAAGCTGAGGAGACTTTTAAACAAGGGAGGGCAGAAACCACCTCTAGACTAGTAGGAAGGGCGGGAAGCAGAAGGCTCTATCCCTACTCCCAAGAACAAAGGGCCAATGGTGGGGAGGATTCCCCCAGAGAGGAGAGAGGCCTGGACTCCAGGAAGGGCTCCCAAGTCCGGATACCCAGAGCCGGGATCAGCACCCACACAGCAACCAGCCACCAGGCTTCTATCAGCCAGGGAACTGAGTCCTTGGAGATAAATCTACTTTTTTAAAGAACTGGCACATAGGATTTTCCTTTCCAGACACTCACCATAGGTTTCTGTAGCGGGAGAGCAGTGCATACTGAAGTTGCCAGAGGAGAGACAGGGGCGGAAGGAGTTAGGGAGAGCCACACAGAGGGTGGCAGCCAGGATACCTGTACTGAGTCATCCCCTCCAATATTTTAGTAGCCATTTTCTCCCTGATGCTAAAAAACCAGCCTAGGAGCTCAGCTTGGCCCCTCTCATAGGCAACCAAGTCCAGTGGAGGCAGCCACATGCTGTGAGTCACTTGAAGCTTTGAACAGGGTGCTAAGAGCTAAATGTGGACAACTTCTGACATTGGCTAGCAAAAACATATCTCCAGGAAGTTCTGAAACCAGCATACAAACAGCCTCAGACAACACAAGAGCAGGATACAATGGGAAATCCAAGCAGGCACTGAAATCTGTCCAGACAAACTTCACTTGGTCGGTTTTTTGTTGTTGTTGTTGTTGTTTCATTATTATTTTTTTTTTGTTTGGATATTATTATTGTTGTTATTTTTTCTCTTTTCTTTCTTGTTTCTTTCATATTTCTTATTTGCCTCTTTCCTTTTCTTATTCTACTTACTGTTTTCTCTTCTTTCTTTCACTTTATTTTTCTTCTTTTCTTTTTACCTTTTCATAATTCTTTTCTCTTTCTTCTATTCTTTTTATATATTTTTTATTGATTTTTTTACAGAGAGGAAGGGAGAGAAATAGAGAGTTAGTAACATCAATGAGAGAGAAACATCTATCAGTTGCCTCCTGCACACCCCCTAATGGAGATGTGCCCACAACCAAGGTACATGCCCTTGACCAGAATTGAACCTGAGACCCTTCAGTACACAGGCCAACACTCTATCCACTGAGCCAAACCAGTTAGGGCTCTTCTATTCTTTTTTAATGGTTTTCCTTTATTCTTATTTGTTTCTCTCCCTTCTTTCTTTTAAGAATTTTTCTTCCCCTTTTCTCTCCTAGTATTCTTTTTATTTTTATTGTATTATTATTATTAATTTTTTCTTTCTTTTTCACTTATTATTCTTGTTCTCTTTTCCCTTTCCCTGTTCTCTTCTACTTTGTGGTTATTTTGCTATTGTCATCTGGTTCTTTTGTATGTTTCCACTTGTTTTCTGGTTAGTTTTGTCCTGTCAGGACCTGTACAATAGCTCACACAATGTGGTATGTATTGAGACTCACAGTTAGCCAGCCTGAGATAAGATCCCAACCAAGAATGGGAAAACAACAATTCAGAGCCAATTACAAGAGGAAAACCCAAATAACCCACAAAAGGGTCCCTCCCAGAGCATCCAGCACAAGAGTTTAATGAAACCACATCACTGGTTCCCACAAGACATTACTATAAAAGGCCACCCCACAAAGAATAGGAGACATAGTAGGTATATCTATACATGGAGACAAACACAAAGAAACAACTAAAATTGGGAGACAAAGAAAAAAAAACTCCAAATGAAAGAAAAGGAGGAATCTTCAAAAAAAGACCTAAATGGGATGGAGGTAAGCAATTTATCAGACATAGAGTTCAGAGTAATGGTTATAAGGACGCTCAAGGAACTTAGTGATAACTACAATGAACATAGTAGGAACTACATCATGAAAAAAGACATAGAAACCATGAATAAGAACTAGTGAAAGATGAATACTAATATTTCTGCCAACACAAGTACACTAGAAGGAATTAAAAGCAGGCTTGATGAAGCAGAGGATTGAATCAGAAATTTGGAAGACATGGTAGAAAATAAAAACACTAAATTAGAGCAGCAAAAAGAAAAAAAACACTCTTAAAAAGCATGAGAAGAATTTAAGGCAACTATGGGACAACAAGAAACAGAACAACATCCACATCATAGGGGTACCCCAGGGAAAATAAGTTAAGTAAGAGATAGAGATGATGTTTGAGGAAATCGTGAAAGAAAATTTCCCTAACCTGATGAAGGAAAAAAGTCACACAAGTTCGGGAAGCACAGAGAGTCCTAATCAAGTTGAACACAAAGAGACACATCATAATTAAATGGCAAACATTAAAGACAAAGAGAGAACCATTGGGGCAACAAGAGAGATAGAGGCAGTTACTCCAAGAGTGCTTCCATAAGTCTGTCAGCAGATTTCTCAACAGAAACACTGCAGGCAAGATGGGAATGGCATGAAGTATTCAAAGTAATGAAAAGCAAATATCTGAAACCAAGACTACTCTATCTATCAAGGCTATCATTCAAAATTGAAAGTGAAATAGGGAACTTCCCAGACAAAAAAAGACTAAATAAGTTTATTACTACTAAACAACTATTGCAAGATATGCTAAAGGGACTATTGTAAGAAAAAATAGAGAAAGGGGAACATAGGCTTAGAGGATGAAAATGGCATGTGGAGTTTCCTTAAAAAATTAAAATGCTATTTGACCCAGTGATAGAATATATATCCTAAGAATATATCCTAAGAAGCCAAAAACACCAATCAGAAAGAATATATGCACTCCTATCTTCATAGCAGCATTATTTACAATAGCTAAGATCTGGAAACAGCCATGTGTCCAG